TTACAAAACATGTATACTTATACTGGTTGTTTTTTTCATTGTGCATGGTGGAAAGGAGCAGGGAGAAGAACATCTTATTTTACCTGCCCCTTCTTACAGAAAATAAATAAAAAATGAAATAACCATTTAAAAGCAATATTCTTTCAGTCACAGTTGCTTACTAATACTGAAACATAAAACCAGAACACAATCAAAAGTCATCTTCATACTGTCTGAATATGCTTTCTTTATACATTTTCTTAAACATAAAAATGTTCTTTCAGCCCTTTAAATCATTCGGTAAAGCATTCCACTTCTTTACGCCAACTACAGAGACACACATCTGCTTTCAAGTAGTATGTGCAAACTGATGCTTTAAATGTAATTTCCTCTTATGATGCTCATCCTCTGAAGTTAAAACACATATGTGTTTTGTATATTTTCTGGCAGTATTCAGTTTTTTGCTTTATGCATAGCTAAAGCCGTCTGTAATTCTATTAAATCTTTACATTTTAATCTGCTTTGGAAGAAAGCATTCTTAGTCTGCTGTTTATGCTGTTGCCATAACAACACAGACATGAACAATTGCTAAGAAAATGAATTTACAGAAAAACCGTGTGTGTGTGTGTGTGTGTGTGTGTGTGTGTGTGTGTGTGTGTGTGTGTGTGTGTGTGTGTGTGTGTGTGTGTGAGCATATGTGGAGGAGGCGCTTCTGTTTGTATTGTTGGACCGGGGTCATAGGATTAAACAAGGCATCCTGCAGAGTTTTGCATCTGTTGTTTATGCCTTATTCAGTGTGTGCCGTCAGAACAGTGGAAATATTATATCAAGTGGAAATGGCTGTTGGCGAATTTCTTCATTTATTATGTGGAAAGACAAGAAGTGTTGAATTTTTCCTTGCAAATGTATAAATAATACAGAAGGTTGTGAAGACGGCTCAAAAGTTCATTTACGCCTGCTATCTGTTTTACTTCACAGTTTTGACTAACCCCTAACCCCTCACCCTTCTTAATCTATCCTTCCTCGTGTTCATCTGCATTGCCTATTACTTTATATACATTTCCACATTTGCATAACTTCAAAGAGGGGGTGATAGGCTTGTTAGGTTTCTTACCTGATTGCTGGTATCCAGATATATGAGACAGAAACAAGTTCATCCTTATTATATATTATTATTATTATTATTGTATGTATGTACAGTATGAATGCTGCGTGTCTTTGTTGTATCTTGTCTATTCTGTATGTTTTGATTCCACCTTAAAAGGACTTGTTCTTGTATAATGACAATAAATGCTTCTAATCTGAATTGATCTAATTACCCTAACTAGCATTGTCAACAAAGACTGGTGCAATTGCAGCACATATACAACATTCCCCCCCATGCTGCTGTGCCATTTTTACATGTTTTACCACATTACAAAATACAGATGGGATATACAAATGCTACACTAATTGCACGGCAATGTCGGTTGTTAGACTGGTGAGAGTTATTTAACAAGCCAGAAGATATCCGGAATTGTATTAAAAATATATTTGCTTTAGAGCGGTCTAACCTTAATTTGAACTGATAATTTTCTGCTATGTTTCATTGTTTAAAGTACATGCAAGAGAGAGAGAGAGGATGACAGGATGACCTTTAGCGTGTCCGTTCACTTTGTAGAGCTGATTGAGTAGTTTACGACCCCTCTAAACTCTGACGACATGCCATTAAAATGATAATTATATTCAAGCTCTCAAGTCCTTGTAACACTCCACGGTAGCACATCATTCACACTAGATATTGTACTTCGACTGTTCTCAGGAAGTGTCATGAATTGATAGTCCTTATTTTCCACCTCTTGCTTCTATTTGACCAGATAGATCATTGTGTCGGGTGCAATCAAGAAGTCACACTCTCCGGATGTAGCGCCGTCTGACTCCTGAATTTAGATTCTCTTTCTGCCTGTGGATCAAAGGTTCAGGCTGAGACGGGATTATTCAGCAGGGAGAGGTATAACTAAAGTATCTGAGTCCTTGAACCTAAGCCAAGGAAGGGATTTTCCATCTCACACTAATTAGAGTCGCAGAGGAAGACTCTCTTTAAATGTCCGCCACGTCATAATGTAGCCTAATTGTTAGCAACGTTACATCACTTGACAGGGCGGCTCCATTGCACCTGTGATTTTATAGCTTTGATGATCCTTTGATGATCCTATACCATCCTGTGATCATTTAAGCTGGACACCCCCCCCCCCACCTATCAACCTTTCATACTTCTATTGCATTTGGAAATGATCCATTAGGTTTTTGAACTGCTTGCTTCTTCTCTCAATTCAGTGTTCATCGCCTTGGCATCAATAAAAAGTCATTATGGTATTTCGCCTCAGGTGAGTGCTGGATATGTGCAGAAATTCATTCTCACGCTCACAAGGTCTGCACCCGAAAACGAGATTTCTGTTTGAATAGTTTCCCAAAGCAGTGTGAGGTCCTTCCTGAGGCTGAAAGATACCACTCTACTCAGACACCTGGGTCAGGCCATGTTTCTTGGTTGTTTTGTACCGCAGCAGGGTTTTGTTTACCTGCCGTGTTTGATAGCCAGGAGCCCCGTATTGACACTGAACCTGTTCAGATCACTGCTTGCTGTTAACAGGAACAGGCTTTCTGCGGTACCTGTGTCTCCGTACTCAATTACAGAACATGCTGCTACTGTTATATGTTGTTGTGAAGAAGACATCAGACACCCTCAGGCTGTCTGAGTCCAACACATATCTTGGCACCTTGCAGGGAAACAGGAATGCAGTCATTTCCTTTAAGGCATTGTTTATTTAAGCAATTATACCAGCAGGTCGCTATTTAAATTAGAATTAGGTCTACAGCTTTGTCCATTTATTGTTTAAACTGAGGGCTAAATATCCAAACATATGTCATATAATTTCTTCCATTTTAAATATAATAAAACAGGGAATAAATAAAAGGTATTGTGTTGTAATTAGGTCTTGACAATATAGCCATAAATGTTACTCTAATATATTTATATTTATTAATCCATGGATTTACCGACTTCTCTTTTTGGTAAAACTTTTATAATTGAGTGTCAATTTGTTATAGAAAATGTGTACCAATAAAGTTGACTCTGGTTCTTATCGGTACTTAAATATTGATACAGTGGAAGAAAACAGGACTATGGGGAACACGGCAGGAAATGAGAAGTTGATTACACGCTTGAGGTTTTTTTAAGCGTAGTATTTATAAGAATACATTCCAATGATCCCTGTAGTCTTGTTTTCTTCCACTTTCTACATTTAAGTACCAGTAGAAAGTGGTGTGTATTTGATTGGTGCCAATTCATAAAACAAAAGGACACATTCAATCTCAGTCTGTATTTTAAACAGCTCTGTACTTTTCTCTTTTCATGCCTCTCAAACTTCCTCTGCGGTCTGAAGTCTTGAGGTTTGCCTCTGAGCCAGTGGGTTGAACTTTCCGATATAAAGAGCAGAGCAGAGGTGATTCATGGGTTTTCACACCTGCAGCACAAATGAGCAGGACCAGGGTTCAATTACGCACAGTGGTGGGTGTGGGCGCTGTTATAATGAGGGTCAGCAGGGCAAGGCATGGACAGCTCTTTGAATGGCTGGCACTGCAGTGGAGCTCAACATGAGAGCTGCCATCGCGCGAGAAAAGGTTGATGCCGTTAGTTTAACATTGATTGACAATCCGACTTCTCCTGTTAAGCATACTCTGAATTGGATTTGCCATTACACAACTGTCAGTCAGACCCGTCTTATTCGCTTCTTCTTGATGATGTTTTTCATTTCCATGTCATTATCTGGTTCCCATGTGCCTAAGCTCTGTCTGGTTTTGCTTATTATTTGTTTGCTTAATTGCTCAGCCTAGCTTTAGCCCCCCATTTTCATTACTCTGCCAGATTTCCTATAACATGTTAACCACCGTGTGGGCTGTAGCTCAATTAATGTCAAACAGTCTATATCTTTATATATGTACAATGAGATAATAAATGCTTCTCCCTTTCAAGGGTGCCATCAAAAAAACATCACAACAAATACACGCAGCATACATACTTAGGAATAAGGAATAAAGTGCAGTAATTATTTCTCATCTACCTACCTACAGATAATTGGTCCGATACAATACCGTGGTACATTTCTATACATTGCAGGTATCATTAGGGGTGAGTCGTGTGCAGCATGGATTCAGTAGTGACAAACAAGAGAAGAAGATAAAGACATGGTTATTAAAAGAAGCTCCGGTGCAGGAATGCGGTAGAGGATGACAGGTTTTGAGGAATGGATAAAGATTTAAAGCCGACAAAGAAAAGAAGAGAGTTTCTGTTGAGTCACAGATTCAGACTGAGCCACTGATTCTGCTCCCTGTTGGCTTCTGATTTATCTGCTTGATCTCTGATGTGCTAATGGTGTTAAGGTGTGGAGCGCAATGTCTATCTTTATTCAAAAGCATGAAAAGAAGCCCGTATTGTGGGTGGATTTGCTGATTGCCAATGTAATTAGGGTTCTAATGAGTGTGTAGATTTATGGACAGGGACGGATGTGTTGTAGGGAGTAAAGTAAGATTAAAGTGTCTAATTCATAGAACCTAAACTACTTGTTTTTTAGTTTTGTCCATGCTGGTCTTTCCAATAAAATGTCATGCAGTAAACCAATTCAGGTCTTTAGATAGGATCATTTGTTGTTTTCCCCAGAACCTGCATAAAGGTCATGTTGTTATTGCTGCTAGGACTGCTAATAGACACAATCCTTGACCCCTTCAGCATGTATTCATTCTGGCTGAGCCTAAAGGATGATGGCCTTCCCAAAATATTAAGAGACCAACAGCACCAGTATGGTTCAATAATCAAAGATAGTCATTTATGCTTTTTCAAACTGGAATAAATTACAGATAAAAAAAACTCCCCTGTCATGTGGGTTATGGGTCCAATGGGTGACCAAGTTATACCGTTTTATTTATGTTTAAAAAGCCATTATCGGATCTTCCCTTTTGATTTTCACGTCAACCATTCATCCAACTTACTCCACACCTGTAGGTGTATTGCTGGGTGTGGCTTGCTCTCCATCGATGTTCATGAGAGACTTCGGACAAAATTACGTGTTTGCTCAAGCATATAAGGCAGGGGTGTCAAACTCAAGGCCCGGGGGCCAAATCCGGCCCGCGACTTCATTTCATGTGGCCCCTCAAGATCAAAGAATATAATATGTTTATTATACGGTTACATTCCGCTTTACATAAGCACATTGCCCATAAACTACATGTCCCACAATGCATCTCAAATATTACTTTTTTCCCGGAATTTGATTTTTTTTTCAAAATGTTACTTTTTTTTTTTGAATTTCACTTTTTTTATTTATTTTTTTCAGAATTTGGCTTTCCTTTTTAAATCATTTTGCGACATGCACACTGAAGAGACTTGCAATTGTTTGCCCTAGACTTCTGCTTTCAGACGTAGTTAATTATGAAGTGATTAACCTATCCGATAATAATCCAATGCAGAGGAAATAATGTTATAAAATAAATGATTTTATATTAAATATTTATATATTTATTCTTAGTCTTATATATAAAACTGGCCCTTTGAGTGCAACCATGATGCTAATGTGGCCCGAGTTGAAATTGAGTTTGACACCCCTGATATAAGGGATGTAACTAAGTCATGGCAGGTGTATCGCTCAGGACCAAAATGTTTTGGTTCTTAAAAAAAACAAACGATTTTTGGATTGCCTTATACCAAAGGAACTCATGAATGGTTCAAGGTTCAAGGCTTTTATTAGTCATACGTACATAGCTACAGTGTAGTTATGACAATGAAAATCTTAGGTCACAGACTCCACCAACAGTGCAACACAATAAAAATAGAAAAACAGAACAAATAGTGCATATAAATATAAATATAAAAAGAAAAATAATGAAATAGTGTATTGGTCTCCAATATTCTGTAACAAGACTGATTATTAAAATCCAGAGGGCATTGATGAAGTATCGTAAACACTTGACATGCACAGTTCCCATGTGGAGAAGAAAATATAGCCACTTTATGTTCATGATTTGATTAAGAGACAGTTAATAGAGGCAGTGGAGTTGGTTTACTTAATGCCCTGATTCATTGTACGTACGTTTATGCCTGTGTGTTGTTTTCCACATATTGAGCTACGGTGCAGCATTTGCCTGCAGAGAAGCCGCTGCTCGCTCCTGATCAAAGCGAGACTGAGATGGGGATGTTGTCTGTAATGTTTTTTTTCTTTTTCCCATTTGTGCATATTTGATGTTTCTTGTCTGAAACCAGAGAGTGAAGCACTGTTGTCTTTAGCTCTTGTATGTGTAAGAACTGAGCCTCTGAGTGATTCACAGATGAAAGCTGTCAGTGCCATCCTCTCCATTCAGGGTGCCTTGGGAATAATATTGCATCAGAAACCTTTTGTGACAAAAGGAAAAAAAAGCTTCAGAGTGTGACTAGACTTTAGATGAAGTGACAAATGGAAACAAGGAAAAGGAAGTGAATTTCAACTCTACCTGGATGATAATCATGAAAAAAGTTTATGTAAGATGATGACTCATCTCGTGTTCATTGAACATAATGGTGGATGATCAGCGTAGGTGTTTAGGTGAAGCATGGTTATTCATTCAAGTGACTTTTGAACCAAGTTTCCAACAAGGTAACTCTGCTTCTGTGACTCTTTCTGTAATGTGTAATGTGGTCGGAAGGCTTGCTGTCTCCCAGTGCCGAAACGATGTGGGAATGGCGAGCGACGTCCTCGGCACGAGGCAGCCATGGACGTCTCCAAAAATCCCCGGCAGTTTGAGAAAAACAGCGTTTCTAGCCATGTTCGGTCCAGTCTCGGAAACTTCTGCAAGACTTATGTCAGGGTCACCAGTGTAGGTCAGGGAGAAGGGAGTCGGAGGCGGTGCATCGAAGGTGCAAAGTTGGCTTTATTGAGCAGCAGAAAAACACATGCACAGGATACTTTTGTGTCATTTAGAGCGATCAGTTGATTCCCAGTTAATCAGCAGGCATTTTATTGATTGAATATCAATGATTCTTCTCTCTTATACCTCATTCACACCAACGGTTTTTCAGGGCCGGTTCGGAGCTGGAGCTTGAAAAGCACCGGGTTTTCCTCTTCACACCGCAGCGGAGCAGCCTCTTAGCTCCGGAATCCGGTTCATTTCGAGCACCAAAAAATTGTCCGGCTAGAGCAAAAGCCCCGCATACGTCACGCTTACGTCGAGGCGGGGGCCGGGGCGGGATGAACTCCTGAACAACAACAAAAAGCCGGCGTTTTATGCAGTTTGCACACAACGATGGAGAAACTTAACAAGCAGCAGTGGTCCACTGAAGAGACCAGCTACCTACTGGGAATCTGGTCTTCCGAAGAGGTACAGAGGAAGCTGGAGCACCATCGGCCATTGTTGTTGTTGTCGGTGTCAGCTGTGAGGGGTTTCCGCGCGGTTTGGCTTTATGAAGCAGGCACGCAAACGGTTACGTCATGACGCAAACGATGACACAATGACGCAGCACCAGTCGGACTCTGGGCAGTGTGAAAAGAGCCGGAGCCAAACCGAAGAACCGGTTCTGAACCTGAAAAGCTCTAGCACGGAGCTTGAACCGGAGTTGCGTTGGTGTGAATGAGGTAAAAGATACTACATGTAATTGGTTCCAAGTTCCCAAATGTAAGAAACAAATGCTTTTCTTGGTTATATATGATCTCAAACTCAAAGGTTTGGTATTTGGGATGTTGGTTGGTTTATAATTTCAATATGTTTGCCTATAACAACATTTCCCTTAGTTGCAGCCATAGTGTTACTCTATTTGTATGTTTTGCAGTGCCTTCTTGTGCCAATTGGGCAATGATTAGATGAAAAATGTCCTTTTGTCTTTTTAAAGAAATCAGTGGACACAATATAAGAAATGCAACAATCAATATAACTGCACTCTACAATACATAATACAATAATGTGAATTAAACAAAACAGGGTAACTCGTTAAAACCTCCCTGTCCTCTAACACTAGGCTTGGATTTTCTCCCATACAGTATGTGACGGTCAACATGCACGTTTTAAGTTAGCTTGTCTTGTAATAAGAGACCTTTGTTTAAATGTGTACGTTCCCACTGATTCAAGCATATTGCTTCTCTTCAGAATTCTCCTGTTAACACAAATACTTCTACGCACTTGCATACACGCGCATGCTCTTACTCACTCACTTACTCACTAACCCATGCCGTGGCTTTTAATATCTTCATCATTTGGATGAATTGCCACTCACTGTTCCAGTCACTGACGCACTCTTTGCAAGTTCAAGGCAGCTTTGTCATCAGGTCTATCACTCAAATAAAGAGCATGTTTGAAAAAGATGTCTCCATAAAAGGGATTTTCATGGACAAGGACAGTCCGACCTGTTTCAGCTACACCCGATACATTTGTACGTCTATGACGAACCCTGTTTTTCAAAGATAAAATAACACAATGGTTTAGTTGTTAGGAGGACACATATGAATATATGTCCTGAGGCTGATTCATCAATTGAACAGCCATGTCACCCCCTCCCCAAGGACATTGCTCTTTTATGTGTGTTTGTTTTTTAATATGTGTCAGTAGGTGTCTGTGTGATTCACTGCGTACCCTCTTATCTGCAGACTCATTTGTTAAAGCTCAGCACCCATTTGTCATTAAGAGAGCGAGAGAGAGCAGTATAAAGGAATACAAGTTTAGACGGTCTGAATTGATGAAGGGCGCAATGCAGTGTTTATTAGCACATGTTGTTTAATGTGTGCTACCTAGAACTGTGCAGCCGTTTGTTTGATTGTGAAGCGTTTGTCCCTCTTGTGTTTAGAATGAGGCTTATATTCCAGAAGTGGATTTCTAATGATTCTTTTTTGGGAGATGGGATGTTGAGCACATTGTCCATGGTCCATGTTTGTAAAGGACTATTGTGTGACTGTGGTTCTGGATTCAGATGTACTGAAACCTTTTTGTGAAGTAGCTGCTGAATGTTTTAACAATAGGAAATAAAGCATTGAGAGGGGAACATTTAGATATAAATAAAGCAGAGTGCAGGATATCACAACAGCTGTGCAGCTTAATTAATTTAATATGCTTTTAATAGCTAGTTGTCTCATCATTTCAAATATATTTTATGCAGGTATAGAACGAGCCAAGCATGCAAGTTAACGGTTTTAAATGTTGGTGGCACAAGCTCAGTAGCTACATAATTTATATGTACATAACAATTAAGGGGCTTTGTATTGGCAAAAATCTGGCTTACATGATACAGGGGTTGCAATTAAATGTACTGCTATATATAACGATACTGTAAGCGAGTCCAAATATTGTAGTATATTCAAAAATATATAGTTTTCTGAAAATTGTTGATAGAATAAAGATCACATCTGCATAAAATTGGAGACATTTTGTTTACTTTTTGATGCTGTTAGGGCGGTTACAGTCACTGTAACACCTTTTGGTGCAATGTGCGCCACTGTCCGCCATAAATCTTTACATGTAAACTATGAATTCAAAATGTTTTAGTGTTTTTGAGAATCAATACAGTAATACCTTACATAACATTGTATCATCCCTACTAAAATTGTGATATTTGAGTGCACATTTGCAAAAGGGACTGTATACTAGCAACTGGAAAATACCTAATTGTATCAATAGTTGTTAGAGGAAAAATACCAATATATGTTGCTCTGCTTTGCCTTGTGTTTTAGATAATACTTATCAGAGCTAGTCGCTATCTATGTGCACCACGTGGCCCGGTGACATGTTTTTTCATAACTCTATTATTGATGAAACTGAATTTACTGTGAAGCAATTTAGTATTGAATAAGCTGAAAGGAAGCTGGGTTAGCGGGAGACAATCTGGTTATCATTTTTGCATTACACACATCCTCCTTTGGATATCTGTCTGATTTAACAAACACTGCGGGATATGATCCTTTCTTGACCAACTTACAATACTTTTTTACGTTATTCTAAAAAACACAATAACAAAAGTGATGCATGTTATAAAATATAATAGACATTCTCTTCAGGTTTACTCCATGAACATCCATCCATCCATCTTCTCTCGCTTATCCGTGGTCGGGTCGCGGAGGTAGCAGTTCCAGCAGAGAGCCCCAAACTTTCTTTTCCCTGGCCACATCAACCAGCTCTGACTGGGGGATCCCAAGGCCAGCGAAGAGATATAATCCCTCCACCTGGTCCTAGGTCTACCCCTTGGTCTCTTCCCAGCTGGACGTGCCTGGAACACCTCCCTAGGGAGGCGCCCAGGTGGCATCCTAACTAGGTGCCAGAACCACCTCAACTGGCTCATTTCGACGCGAAGGAGGAGCGGTTCAACTCCGAGTCCCTCCCGGATGACCGAACTTCTCACCTTATCCCTAAGGGAGACACCAGCCACCCTGTGGAGAAAACCCATCTCGGCCGCTTGTATCCGCAATCTCGTTCTTTCGGTCATGACCCATCCTTCATGACCATAGGTGAGGGTAGGAACGAAAATGGCCCGGTAGACAGAGAGCTTTGCCTTGAACATGAACAGGTTGCAGAATATTGTTATATAACTAATGAGTTTGACCCAATACCAACGCATGGTTGTATGTAGGGATGCACGACATTGTTTTTTTGAAACCGATACCGATACCGATTCCGATAACTTCCTGCNCACGCCCACTTCCGCATTACGCAAGAACGTAGCTTTAGCGTCATAGACTTCAACTATTCCTGCTTTACCGCGACCGCTATGGCTATAACTGCCGAAGATGAAGTCTATGACGCTAAAGCTACGTTCTTGCGTAATGCGGAAGTGGGCGTGGTTAAATCTAAACTGGGTTGGAATAACGATAGACGCAGCCGGGCCGGCTAAAATGATTGGTCGTGCTTTTTACAGCGCTACGGCTTCCAGAGATTAATTTTTGTATGTATTTATTTATTGTCAAAGCATTTAATATATTCATTGCTATCGGGACGTTAAGAGCATTCCATGGAATATAACAAAAAGTGTTTTCTGAAATAAATGACATACCCCATTAAATTATGACTGAAGATCGTCAGCTGTCTTCCTCTCCCGTGTTGTTCCTCGATACGTAAAGGCTGCAGCACCTTTGACAACTTCTCTCTACATATCAAACATACCGGTAAACCAGCATCGTTTGCTGTGAAAGCATATAACTCTGTCCACACAGAATTAAATCCTGTGTTCCTCCGGTACTTTTCTTTGATTTATCCATAGTTCGCTCATCGAGCCGGGGGTCCCCGCGCGATTCGCCTCCAAGAAAAGGCGCTCGCGCGGGACCGTAGCAGGATGTGACGCATATTTTAGTTGACCTAATTAAAACCGTTTTGTTTTTTATTTATGTGTCACAGTATCACCTCAAAATACAAGATACCAAACATTTTCAACCATGCAACAAAATATAAATAGTCCTACAAATACTTTTATTTTATTTCCTTCTTATTTTTGTCTAAGCTCAAGGGAGCCAGAGCAGAGGGCTTAAAGGGCCGCATGCGGCCCGTGGGCCGCGGGTTGCCGACCCCTGAACTAAACTAAAGTCAATCCATGAAACTCTGGAATATTCATGTTTAAGAAATATAGAGATCGGCTGGTTGATGGTGCTGCTAAACAACTGAATGTGTACGTTATACTTATTTTATCATCATATAAGCTCATACTATATAAGAAGTTTTCCATTTGTTGCATATACTTAAAATCTGCTTGTATAATGCCTCCACTGTATATTGCTTTTTTGATTTATTTCTTTGCTGAATGCCATTACTACAAACCATACCATTATGCTGTACTGTAGCAATGATCTGATTTCCCCCACGAGGATCAGCATATTGCATGGTTGCAATTACCTTCCCCTTCATTTCTTCATTTTAATATTCTCATATTCACAACCCAGTAAGATTCATCCTCTGTGTCTGTACCAGAGGTTGCGTTAACAGAATATTTTCCGTCTATGACCGATTTTTTTAAACAATGAAGGAATAATCTGAAAGCCGTCATTTTTGACAGATTAGAAGAAACTCAGAACAGCGCCAAAGCATCCCCGCAGCGAGGCTCCGGTGTTATGCATGCCCCCCAAAAAGGAGATGATATCATTTCCAAACCTAACTTTGCCGTACAAATCATTGAAATGTCTGTGAGTGCTTTACGCTGTGGCGCGCGCCTGCGAGGTGCAGTGGGCATGCATAACACCGGCGCTAACAGTTCACGAGCGTCAAGCCCCCCCTCCCCCCCCGTTGACAGTTCACGAGCGTCAGAGTTGTGTACAGACCGACTGGTAATAATGGATTGTGACGGAAATGTTACGATCCTGTCCGTCAAAATGAAAAACTCTAGCGCAACCTCTGGTCTGTACTGTAAATCGACATCCAATCTTCCACACTCAGATGATGAATTTAAAAGTACATGTCATGCTCATTTGCAGATTGATATTTGTATTTTGTGCCTCTGCAGTGAAATGTTGTCTAACATACTGTTTACATGCTTTAATGTTCAAAAAGGTCTTTATTTTTGGCTTAGTTGGTCAGCTCTGTTGTGATTGGTCAACTGCTTGGAGATGTCCCACCCCTTACGGCCCGTCCACACAGCGGCGTGCGTTGACGCTTCACCATTCACTTTGAATGAGGTGACGTCACTTTTCGCCGAGCTGCATCGTGGGAAGCGACGTGGAGCGTTGCTGGCGTTGCTCGCTGCAAAAGTTGAGCAATGTTCAACTTTTGACGCCTCGTCAGAAGCGTCAGCCAATCGAATCATATGCCAGTACGAGCTCTAGCCAATCAAACCGCTGCTTGTGTGTCAGGGGCGGGAGATTCATGTTATTGGTTGTTGGTCGAGTTTCAGACACGCCTACCGGCAAGCGTCAACGCACGCCGCTGTGTGGACGGGTATCACGTACACTGTGTTCAAGCACTAGCCAATTCAACCGCACGTTTTAGATAGTGATGTCACTATGTTACGGAAGTAAACAACATGAACTGTGGGATTTTAGCCTTTGCAGAACATTTGCACAACAACCTATAGAACACACTACAGGAAAGGGCAACCCCCAAAAAGCATAACAGGGCCTCTTTAAAACCACGTTAATGGCAGACATGTATTCTCACCAGGGTCCAGAGCACTGGGAAGACTCTGGGGGCCCGCAGTATGAGCAAGCGGCCCAGGGTCTCTGGGTAGTTGGCCTCCACCACCTCGATGATCCTCAGCAGAGCTTTCACTCCCGGTCTCCACAGGTGACGCATGTTGAGACCCTCCAGATCCACCAGGCAGGTCCAGCAGCTGACCGACACATTGACAGAGACATTAGATGGACGTGGATTTGAAGTGTGTGTGATTTGCGGGTAATCATCACAGAAGGTAGACTTAATATTTAAGCCTTTACCTGATTGGTCGACCAAAGACTCTTGTGTTTTCCTCACAACGCCTCAGACCCTCCTCGTTGATGGACAGGACCTGGGTTGTAATTAAGTATCAGCATTAATGTAACTGATACAATTCAAAGGTATACAGTACTTCGCCCACAAAATTATCATAGATACCATTCATTTGTGAAAATAATCTTTTCTAACACAATTCTACTGTGAACGACTAATGAAATACGTACTGTAAAAGGCATGATTAATTGGAAAAAATGTTTAAGCAAACGCTTCGAAAACTAGAGCATTATAAACGTATTTATCCAGTTGTAGACTCACTACTCCCAAAACGCATATTTTTACTATTTATTTAAAACACTGACAAAAAAGTGTTCAAAGACTTTTTCAAAATGTTTGTATTATTCCTCAGTCACAAGGCCTGAATACAAAACAAAGCAGGTTAGCAATTGATGTACCTATGACACATTTTGGGGTTGAAGGATTCTTATTCAATTAAAATTGTCGTTAAAATCTTTTGCAAAAACGTGCATTAATGGATGTTACCTGTCTCAGCAGCCCCTCCTCTCCCAAGGCCCGCACCAAGCCCTTTGTGTCCATTTGCCCCAGTCGCAAGATATACAGAGGACGTCCCTCTAAACCACATAAACACACACAACACAAGTCAATAGGCAGATCAAGTTAGATCACTTCATGTGTTCAGGTCCTCACTCAGCCTGGCGGATCAGCTGTTCCGTTAAAAGCAATGACTCAAACGTGGGAGCTACAACAGATGGTGCTCAGACTTTACGGTCAATAATTAACAGGCCATTTAAACCCATGAGGACTTTTTAAATACAGACAAAAAAAACCTCTCCCGCCTCGTTATCTCCACTGCTGAGTGTCCACTTCCCCCCACAGTACAACAACAGTAGGCAGGGAAATGACATGAAACTGAGTAGAGATAGTATTGGCAGGCAGCCAGTATGAGACAAGTACCTCTGTCATGGTGGTGCCATCCTCCGGTGTAATAGTCCTGAAGCAGCTGTGGGCGCTCCCATGTGTCCAACAGGAAGTCCACCTGGTGCTGCTTCCTCCAGGTGAGCGATTGGCACAAGAACTCCCTGGCTTTGTCCATGTTGAAATCTCTGGCCCTCAGGAAGCGGAGCACATGCTGATCCTTAGGAATCTGAAAGTTAAAATGAATAATACATTCAAAGACCTTTCCCAACCTTTGATCCAATGAATGCTTTCTATTAATCATCAAGTGGGCAGATGTCCAGGCATAAATGTGCGTTTTACAAAATTGCACAAACTTCTGTGCAGTCAAACAATCTCTCTGTGTGTGTGTGTGTGTGTGTGTGTGTGTGTGTGTGTGTGTGTGTGTGTTTATTTGACCTTGCCCTTGTGGGTTTCCAAGAGCCACTGGCGCAGTCGGATAAGACAGCTCTCCTGCAGAGGCGTTAAATCACCAAGGTAACGCCTGATGTAGTCGGCATCCAACTTGTCTGCAGGCCAAAGAACATGTTCAATGTACAGTTAGCACATATCGCATGCATACATCTGAGAAAACAGGAGCTGTACAATTGATTTATATTTATAGACTTAAAGTGAAGTCCTATGTAAATATCTACATCCTGGGTAAATCTACCGTAAAAAAAGTCAATATAAAAAGGAACAGGGCTTACAAGAAATGATTATATTAATAGTAAAACTGGTAAACTATTGATTATATCACCAGTTAAAGATGACTTCGACAACACAATTCTTCTAACCTAATCACTGTACTGTTTTGGGTGTTAGCTGCTACTCTATAACTGATTGTGACTAGAGATGAAACACTGACCGTCAGGAGAGCCAGGCACGATCTCAGCGTCAGCGTCTGCGTCTGCGTCTGCGTCTGCACTGTCGGGTCCCGTCTGAGCACTGATCTCTGGGATGGGTCTGGCTGTGGAGCGGGGGGGCAGCTGGAGCCTGATAGTGCCGGAGACAACAGGCGGGGTCCAATGAGGTATGTAGGTTACTCCTTCGTCCTCCAGCTCTCTGAGGTAGTACTCTATCATTTCTTTTCCCTACAACACAACAAGGAGACAGTACTTTTGAAGTTACTGGGAAACGGTGGAAGGTGGTGTCGATTAAAGTTAATTCAAAGATGCACACCTTTTTAATACTGCTTGCATACTGTTTCATAGCTATCTTCTCTGCAGAGTTCTCAAATCCAAAAAAGGACTTAATATCCAGACTAGCCGTCTGTTCGAAGCACGTCCAGTCTTCATTCTCCGGATGAACCTGTGGAAGAGGATCAGAATGTATGATGTAAATTACATCTTTAATACAGTATGTTACAACCCTTGTCATGAAAAAGGGGCAAAATCAGCAGTGCGTTGCAAGATAATGATTGAAAAAAAATGTATGCCGCAGATGACTCGATGTACTGAAGTAATCACAAGCAGCAGAAAGGATATTGCTAGTGGGGGTTATGTTGGGGAACGTCATGAAATGTTACAGCACGGTAGGTATTATTGGATCAAGAAACACTACATCGACTTTAAAAGACCCAACCTGTAGATACAAGTGCATTTGGCACAACATGAGAGGATCATTTAGAACAATTATGCCCTTGGTAGTGAAGCAAGGTTTGTATGCACATGCAGCGGTGGGGATCTCGTCTATAAATGTGACCCTTTTTTTTGCAGAACACATTGTATAAGTGACGAATAAAAACAAGAAAGTGAGTACAACATCAAATAAATCAAAAATGTTGTTCCATCCTGAGGCTCACCGTGTAGTTGCAGGACTCATAGACAATGACCCTGTTGGAAAACGTCTCGTTGCGGACCTCGATGTGGAGCGTCCTGTCTCTGTGATTCAGAGTGTTCTTCTGGAGAAAGTACAGGTAGTCTACACCAGCAATCTGCATGGAGATTAAAAAAAAACATGGTTTACACTCAAATACATCAGCAAGTGGATCAAAACAACCTTTCAAACATTGACAGATAATGCCACATCTGACGCAGTCTTGGCAAACATTCCTATTTGTGTTCTAATGTCTAATTACAGCAAATGTTATGAATGTCTCGTGGCCTTCCACGCTCTGGTAAAGGTCGGAGAGGATGTACCCGTTTCAGAAGCCGTGGGGCCTCGATGTCGATCATACAGCGCCTCTCCGTGACCACCGTGGATCCATCCTTGCTTTGGGTCTCGTTGACGATCTCACTGTCCACGAACACTGGGATCAGGGGCGACTTTGGGAACCTCCTCACATAGGCCTGAGAGGGGGAAAGAAAATGATTTATAAAATACATGTGTAGATTCTTTAGGTCTCTGTACATTCTGTTCCCTCTGAAGGATGTTGCTTTTAACCTGCCCACTATGAGGAGCTCTCTGATTGGGCAGGAAAGCGGCTTTGAATGTTCCGATTACAAGAAGGTCAGCTGATATTTCCAGAAGTCTAGACTAGACTGTTCCTGGCTCATGACTACAGCATGTGATGTCTTTGTGTGTTTAGGATGCATTCAATCGTTAGAGGATTTAACAGTTCATATAAAAGCAAACAGCCTCAGTGATAGCTTTTATGGACTTGTACTGTCAACAGCACACTGTGTGACACTCTGTCTAAACCCATATCACAAAAGCTCACCTGGCAATATTGATTGAGTGGTTGTTTCAGGATATGCAAAATAGTCCAGAGTCTATGTAACTAGTAGCAGCGTGGTTTCGCTGGGGAAATATTTACAAGTCACCTTACGCAGGGAACAAAGTTAACCATCACGCTATAGCCTTTGCAGATAGGACTGGGGAGTTCCCTATCCTCTTTTAATTCTCTCTAAAAAACTAATTTGTATTGGTGTGTTTTGACAAGGTTTGTTGCCTGAATTCACCTTTAAGTTATTTCTTAAAACCAATTTATATACGGCATTATCCTGATTCTGATATGTAGCTCCTTTGTTAATTGTTGTCTAGCTTTTTTTTATTGGTCTACCATTTTTATCTCGTGGAGCAATTCAGTCTTATTTCAAAAGTACTATATAAATAGTGTATTATTAATTCATTGTTAAAAAATAGCTGCCTGTTAAATATTTAAATATATAGAGTAACCATAAAGCAGTTCTGCATGGTTTAGAAACATATTTGTATCACTCCTGATATACAAGATTAGTGGGAACCTAATAGCAACAAAATATGTTTTCTTATGTAAGAAAACAATACTATCCAACATATTAAACATCATATTCCACATTTGCATTACACCGGCTAAAAGTTTAATGTCTGCGGAGCAAGAAAAATGCTTTGTTTTCTCAGCAAATCTTGATTATATGCAATTTTACCAGAGTCAAAACACACAGTTGGCTTAGTCTATCTGTTCATTAAAAACCCAGGAAAGTCATAAAAACGTGTCATGACAGGGACAACAATGATGTCACTAGTTAAACATCGAGTGCTATCCAGGACACAGATTGTTAGCTGGAGTAATAAAAGTAATGAGAAGGCTCAGATAGAAATGGGAGGCTGACTTTTCACTGGCCCTTCGCCCTCAGGCTTTCCAGGCCTGGATCTTTTCACAGTGGCAGTTATTTAGTTGTCACAAAAGACCTATTATAGGATATTTTTCCCCTATGCGAAAGGATGCAAGATACATTTCATATCTGAGATTTTCTGTAATATAAGTTTCCTTGGAAATGAAGCTTGTGTAGGTGTAAACTAAGACTGCTTGGTGAAGGAGTTATAGTCTGCAGAGCAAAGTGTTACTGCAGCATCACTGCTCTGAGGATATTGCACAAGGCTTCGGCTTAATGTATAACTGCAGAAAACAAGTAAGAGCAGGCTGTGAAAGTGGGTGAAAACACATTTATGGAAATGCAATTGGAATTACATTTGTCCTACTTTTGCTCCCATTCTTACATGGATGTGGGTTGTAGTTGAAGAGAACAATACATCAGTATCAAAAACAAGAATTTCACATAAACTAACATGGTGGATAAATGTTTGGAAAGTGGGATTTAGCTTGTAATTTCAGTACATTTATCTAAATGACTAGAATGCTGCTGCACTGAAATATAAATCATATATTGTTAGAAAAATGTCACGGTATATTCTACTAAAACCTTTTTTTTAAACAGCAGCAATTATATAAAATAACTTTAGGACTCCTGCCCTCTAAAATAATAACAACAGGACAACACACTCCAGCTGCTTCCCTTTTTGTCAAAAAGTGGACTTATTTTTCATTTTGGTCTTAAATTATTTAGCGATAAGTATTTTTTCAGGCTTGTTTCAAGCTGGATGACTTATCTCCATGAATCTTACGAGCGCATCTCTGGTAAACACGAAGACAAAAGATAAAACAGCTCTGACGATTACATTGAATGATAATGTACTGAGAATTTCTTTCATCTAGGGCGAAAACATCTAGGCAAAACACAAGAGCTTCATGGAGCAACATTTGCTTCTGTATTCTGTGCATATTCTTTACCATTACTTTTTGCATACATATCCAACACCTAGGCAAGTTAAATAGGCATAACATATTTAAATGGTGAGCCTGGCATTGGATAAAGAAATGTGAAGTTCATTAAGCAGCTCAGACCCTACATAATTCTTTTTTTTAAAACCACAGCATTCATTAAACAAAAGAGTGTTTACAGTATACTCTGCTTATTCACTCAACACAGCATTCATTGCATGTTATGTACTATCCAGAGGGAAGCAGATGACCCTGGTAGGCAGACAAGGCTACAGATAAGCGGTCGAGGTTTATGAGAAAGTCTGGTTTCCTGAAAACTGCAATAAAGTGGAATCCACTAAGAAAGCAGTTTAATTTATATTTTCAGAATTTATATTTCGTTTTTATTGCGGCAAACTTGGTGGCTAAAGATTGCAGGGGTCAAAGCTACACTGGCAACAATAATAACAAATGCACCTTGGTCTCCAGCTTAGTTATTTGAGATAATCCACAGTAATGACCATAGCTTGCCTGTATAATGGCCCTGGATGTAAACACACTACTCACCGCCATTATCAACTCAAATGGATGCTTGTAGACCCGGACAGGGGACTGGTATTCCTGCACCATGTTGACGCCGTTTCACAGGAAGCTTCTGTTAGATAACCACACAGACACTATCATGACTCAGCGAAAATACACACATTAAAACAGCATGACAGCAATTTCCGCGAGTTACATTCTATCTATGGTACAGTGTGACTGTTGTAAACACATTACATTACAGCAGCTGAGTAAAGTCTCAATGCATGGACAAAAATACTTTCACTTGACATTTTTTATGATACTGCAGATTCGTGTTAAAACGTAGAAGAAGAAAACAATAGGAGCCGCCAGTTAGCATCTTTAGGATACATACTATCAATAATTAATGAGAATAGATTGATACCGAGTTTACAAACTAAACTCGGACATGGAGTACTCTTTTGGTTAGTGAATACGGTCTGAGAAGCGAAACAAAAAAGAAACTTGACTTACAGCACTCTTGAATCCTGTTTTCTTAATGTATGGTGCGTCACTGTTTCTCTCCAACTCTCTGTGCATTATCCATACTGTCAGCTGGCAAGGGAAAGAAGTAAACTGGTTTTCTAATTTTGTAAACACGAGAAATGAAAACTACAGATGGTCCATCCGTTAGTCTGAAGCACAGACTCCGCCTTCTTTTAGACAAACAGGAAGTCCGTAACACTCATTTTTTTCCAAACCATCCGACGCTTTATTGTGAGGATCTATGGAAAGCACACACTGACGCATTTATAACATGCAGCGGTAAGTGGTGTGATGTTACTAAGTGGATTTAATCAAGTAATGAACTTAAACACAATTTTGAAGTAATTGTACTTTACTTGAGTATGTTATGCTACTTTGTACGTCTTCTACTCCGCTACAATGAAGAGGTAAATTGTGTACTTTTACTCCACTGCATTTTTGAAATTAATTAATTAATTGATTGTATTCATTTTAACAATACACTTGTTTTGATTTAGACATTACATTTGGTAGTTATTTCTACAAATAACTTTGACATATTAACAGTCACTACACTGATTTTGCCCAAATAAAACCAATCAATTAATTAAAATGTTTCACCTTCAAAATATTGCCGATCATCCGTTCTTGAGGTCATGATGGAAATTAAGTTTCCAATAATGAAACACGCAACCGAGGACATAGTTTGACTAAAGACAGCCACATATTTATATTTGTTGTAGATGTGTATAGCTTCAACTGCTTAGCAATTGTTATTCACATTGTAGTAGGTGTTAATATAAAGTGCCATTTATACATTAACATTCAATTATTGGCCTCATTGTGCCTTTTTAGTCCTCTGAATTGTGTCGTATTATTAACATCTCTCTAGTTTTCCAGGATACAAAATGTGCTGTATCTCATTGATGTTCAGTCCTCTACGCATAAGCAGTGAAAAAAGACTGACAGCGTTGCAACAACATCTAACGTTTTATCCAGGGACACTTTCTTGTCAAGGTATCTCCGTCTCTTTACTGCCTCACAGCAGCTATTCCGGTGAGATGCATCTTGTCCCACATTGAGTCTCAAGAAGCAGCATCCGTAGGAGGGGGATTCAAAGCTTCTGGATCTGAAAGTCTTCAAAAGATACTCAAGTCCAGCAGGGGGCATCCTGAGAGGGGGAAGTAGAGTTCAGATAATCTCCTTCTCCTGCTCAGCCTCAGGCATGAAGAATAATATTACCACAAAACACACTGCTGTCTCCACACAATGTGGGATAAAGAACTGTCATTCTGCTCCTACACAGGAAATACAACACAATACGTGAGATCTGGGTTTAATCCTCAGTAACAGTGACTTTTTGACCTATTTAAAGTTTTGGTTTCCCTAAATTGACCTGTAATTTATACTGGTAGTCAGTCCCATTTAGCAGATACAAAAACAAGGACAGATCCTATCCTGCAGGCCTTCCTCATAATTACTGAGAAAGTTGAGGTGTCATTCCCATTTGATACCCTAATTAGGATCAAGAGGCAAAAAAACCTCCTTGACTCCATTATGACAACAGTGGTTACTTTGAAATCCATATCCTGCCACATCCCACCGCCTAATTCGAAGCACATGACAAACACAATGACTCATCTGTTCCTTCTGCTGTAAATAATCACCTACACTTTGAGTTGTTTGTGGTAATTATAGTCCAACAAAGTGAAAAGCGAACACTGAAGTTTAACGGTTTCTCCTCTTAGCTTGGCTCTCTCAAAGATCATCATCCCTTTTTCTTTAGAATCCTCTTAGTGTTCCTTTCTAATTAACTCCAACAATGACTAAAGCATATTGGATTTATTTCTCTCAAGATTTAAAGATGGCTTTGCATACATCAGCCGGTGATGAACTGAAACCTCGGGGCAATAACTCTCATGAAGATTATGCAACTATACAGCTTTGTATTCATGCATTTGTAATCCAGAGAATAAGTAAACCACTTTACATCCACTCTTCAGCTACGGTTATAAAATAATAATGTTCAGAAAGTACATCTGTTTAGTAAAAGTGCACATAAGCAATGACTTGTGAATAATTTTTATGAACCAAAATCAATATTGTTTTTTCTCCTCTTTGAAGTTAGTTTCATTCGGCTTCGAACACTTTGCTGTTTTCTTCCTCGTAGCTCCAAGGAATGGACCTTAGGGAGAAAGTGAATTTGAATTCAAATGGAGATGATCTCAGAAAAAAATATCTAATATATACGAGTACAGAGTGTCCAGTATCCAGCAGCTGCAGGGTTTAGTACTGGATAAGACCATTTCAAATTCAATGAAAGTACCCTCTGACCCACTCCAACTTAACTTTCAATACTGAATAATGAAGTGTGTGTGTGTGTGTGTGTGTGTGTGTGTGTGTGTGTGTGTGTGTGTGTGTGTGTGTGTGTGTGTGTGTGTGTGTTGTCCATTATTTTAAGAAGAAAACGGTTGTTTATAGGCTACTCCTGCAGTTGCCTGGAGGGAAAGCTCAATAAAGTAATTCAAGTAACACAACTAAAACTACATTTGAGAAGAAATGGAAATATAAAGAAATGATTAACAATAAAAACAACTTTCTCAACTCACAGTTATCTCCTGCAATAAATAAATAAAATGTAATTTGAGTATAGAAAATAAAGTATATCCAGCAGTAGTAAAGCAATGCTTTCAATTAGATCAGGTGATTGATGCAAGTTTATAAGAATACTTTCATTTACTTGTATTCATGTGACATACAATTATGTATTGTTTTATTATTAGATTGCAATATTTGTTCATAAAAAAAGGCTTGCATGCAATTATCTATTAAGTGAGCAATATATATTTCCCCAAACTCTTTAATCTGCTGTAATGAGGAGCTGATCTGAAGATATGCCAGCTGGTTAGATGAGACACACTTAGTTCAGCATAAAGGTCAAACTGAGGAGCAAGCAAGCGTGGGAAGATTATTAGTGATTCAAGTCCTGCCAGATCATGAGAGGCACTGTTTTCTTTTTTTTTGAGTGAGTGGTTGGAGGTAAGAAATAATGACAGTATCATCATGCTTGGTGAATACACCTCACATGGTACGGACAGTTCTTTCACGTTGCTCTCACAAAGGCAGGTGTTGTTCATTAACCATCCACTTGGGGTCCTCAGTTTGTTACTGATCATTGGAAAGTAAAACAAATCTACAAAGCATGAATGTTATATATTTGAAAAGACATTACCTTAAATGATTGACAGAATTTATATTGGTAAAAACACTTGAGCAGCAGGATCTTTATACCGTATGTCTTTCAGAAAATCACGAGATTAAAGCGTCATTTCCCGGGCTTCCTCCATAAATACAGCCTGCAGCTCCTACACATTGTCCAATGTCAGATTAATATTAACATTTATAGCACCTGCAGGAACTCTCTCAAGTGCCATGTGGTGTATACTAAGTTTTAATAGCTTATATTCTCATTATTGATCCTAGCAGGTGAGTGCCTACTGTAGACAGAAGGTCAAAACAAACCACTTGGAAAATAATGGTTTGCATACAGTATGTTTTAATGAGGAGAAGGGGCATTAGCTGTCTAAACTTCAGGGACATCTTTTTGTAATTGAGTATATTGCATTAGGAAGAATTCATGTTTTAACAGCGAAATGATTTCCTTGCCTGGTCTCTACCACCAACGCGCACTAACCCTTCGAATGAGCACAGTGCATTTTGCTCAGTACTCAGTATATGAACCAATCTCATCCGTAGAAGGTGACGAAGTAACAGTTTTGATGTCATATCCGAAACATCCATGCATTGTTGTGCAAAGATATCGACTGAAGTAATAATGCTAAGTAGCTAACCCCGGCAAGTCCTTACTTGTAATTCCACTTTTAGCACTAGAGCAGGGGTCTCAAACTCAAGGCCCGGGGGCCAAATCTGGCCCGCGACTTCATCGTATGTGGCCCCGCAAGAGCTTGCAAAGAATATAATACGTTTATTATAGGTTACATGCCACTTTACAGAAGCAGGTTGCCCATAAACTACATGTCCCACAATGCATCTCGTTTTGTGACATGCGCACTGAAGAGACTTGCAATGATTTGCCCTGGACTTCTGCTTTCAGACGTAGTTAATTAGGAAGTTATTATCCTATCCGATAATAATCCAATTCAGAGGCAATAATGTAATTTAATACATTATTTTATAAATATATTATATATTTATATAGTTACAACCGGCCCTTTGAGTGCAACCTTTATGCGAATGTGGCCCGCGATGAAATTGAGTTTGACACCCCTGCACTAGAGGTGTGCCTCTCCTCAATCAGACAAGAAGTAGAGCTGCCCTGCTAACGCAAATCAGTACACAACAAGAGGAATCAAAGTGAGAAACAGCAAGCAAAATATTTAAGTCAGGAGGGCACACACAAAAGGCTCTTAACAATTAGTATCTTCATCTCATATGATTATTGCAATGTGAAGTTATTTTAAAACTGCCATCTGTTTCTGCAGAGAGTTATTTCCACCCACACAGGGGCATTTGGTCATCTTTGCTTTGTGTGAATGTGAAATGTTGTTGTGAGGTAACACCAGTCGTCTGTCGTAGCCGCTAGTTTTTTTTATGTTCTTGTGTCCATTAAACAAACTATAAAAGCTTACACTGATAATAGCACAAGGTTAGTGGCAAAGTTAACTCAAAGATGACTAAGGAAACCTATACACACCACTAATATACCAGTGTACATGAGAAAGACTCAAATTCTAGTTTTCTTTGCCCTATTGGCTTTTTAAAATATATACTAATGACAGTGAGGTGAAATGTGGATAAGGTAGCCAGATATTTCAGATTGCACCCTTAAAGCATGCTGGTGAGGAAACATAAAGCAGAATAAGGTTAATTTGAAGGCATGGCTGATAAGAATAGATTTTTTTCTTGCCCTAATTGAAACTTGGAATTGCTTTAGATTTATGTCCGACTTAAAAAATGTACTGATATCTTAGTCATGAAGATATAACCTACCACTGTCCTTTGAGACACTAACAGCATACACCATTTCATATAGTATTCATAAAGAAAACACATTTGTCTATTTGTACGAAGGTGATTTACATATCTGTCATGCAGAAAGTGGTACACCAACGCACATGTAAAGGGAAGTGAAATACATCCCATCCATTCCCTGTAAACCCCCACATTAAACCGTGCCAGCTTGTAGTACAACCCCAAGGATAACATCTGAAAC